AACAACATAAAATTTGTTTTCACTAAACAGCTGTCATTTTTGCATGTGTATTCAAAACAAATCACCTCATTTACAAAAATATCATTTTATGAAAAATAATACTGATAGATGTATGCACACTATAATTTAAGTTTCACAGCAAACGTGCAGTATTTAACAGTTGACGATAAATGAGGGCTATGATAAAAAAAAAGACTATGGGAAAGTGATGGATGAATCAAAGGAAATGAAATCGACAAAAAGGAAAAAAAAATATTTTGTTGATGGAACAGGCAAACCATCAGACTTTTAGGAATTAAATACTGCTCAAATCAGAAGCAGAATGAATAAATCCTGTAAAGTGGAAAAAAATTATTACCCGATAACAGAATAACTGCTGTTCAGAAAAGGAACTTTTGTAAAGAGAGAGCTACATTAATAAAATATAATTTGTGGCACAAAAGGAAGTTGGGAAAATTTTTTAGAGGTCGAAAATAATAAAATTAACAAATGATGATGTAAAATTATTTGGCAGTTCCCAGAAACAGCAGAATACAAACCCAGGGAGACAACATTTGTGTAATAAAATGCTCCGATATGGTTTCTTTTTACCTAAAAAAAACCTTTCTAAACCCCCCCCGGTAACAATTTTCCAGTGACGTTGCACAAGATCGCTGATATATTCACACCTTGTCAATACTGTACAGCCATTGTACCCTGTCATAGTGACCTGTGAAGTTTTTAAAGAAAATCTCAACGCATCCTCCAAAATCAAAGTCTAGGAGCACAAGTCAGTGGGGGACTAGTGGATCACATCTAAACAACTCAATTTGGAAAACAGAGCTTCTCTTTGGGATCAGTATTTGTTGACAAAAACAAATGACTAAAGTTCCACTGCAGACGCTACACTGACACATCTCATTGCATAATCCCCTCTCATTTCATCTGGCAAACAACAAAATTCCTTTAATAACATAATTCATATTCCTGTGTACAATGTGTACAGCTCTCAAAACATAATAGAACCTTCTCCACAGAAAAAGACACTGCACAAAAACATCAATAGAACCGGCAGCACTTTTTCCTTTGTGATACAATCAAACACAGGCAGCATTCTCAAATAAGCAAACAATACATTGACCATTCGGTGCAAGGCTATCTTTTAATGTTTGGCTGATGAAGAAATAACTGAGTCTAAAGCATAACATCGTATCCATACAGGTGCATCAAGAAGGAAACTTTGAGCATAAACTATGCAAATTTATGAACTGATTCCTACTCTGGGACATTATGATAAGCTTTAGTGATAACATTACTAACCTATCCTCTGCAAAAAGAACGAATAAAAAAAGACTTAATAGTCTAGCGTTGGAAGAATGAAGCAATTTATTCATCTTTGAAATATAAACATTGATTATATTACAGTTTAAATCATCATTGACATAAAAAACTGCACTGCAATTGTAATTTTTCAGCTGTAAGGAGGAACAGGCAATGAGAAACTAACACCTGCTCGAAAGGAATGCCTGAACTCAATGCTGTATGGCAAACTGATAAATATATATATATATATATTTCATGTAGTCCTATGCACTGGGGGAGGGGGGGGGTGTCGTAACTGTCTAGCAGTGTATTGCATTACCAATACATATTAGAAAATTAAACTCAAATCAATTGCATGACTGACATCAGGTTTCTCACAAGAGGCAAATTCAGCATGATTATTTCTGTGTGAGAAGTTGTGCGGTACCCCAGCCTAGTAATCTCTTATAAACAGCTACAAGCTCTAAACTACTTGTGTCTATTGAGGGGAGGTTAGGCTCTTCCCCTTCCATGTGAAAGACATAAGTTTGATTTCCCTCCATGAGAAAAGTATCTCATCAGGTGTCTCTGTCTTTGTAGAGGAATGTGTCCAGTAGCTTGGGATGGCCCCCACAAGCAGTTTTGTAGTTCCCATGCTCCAAAGCTATCTAGAGTGTCTCAATGGGGCTAGACGAATTTTACAAAATACTTACTCCACTTCTTCATAACAATATATATACCTACACATTATCTTTTTTCAAGCGATTACAAAGTAAATTATTCTCTAAAACATGACCATACCAATGCCTTTGGCTTAAAAAAAAAAAAATTACCACTACGCTCATATTTCACTTTCAAGGGCAAGAATGATCATTTCTCAAGATAGCAAGAGATTGTGTTGCCTAGTACTTGTTGACAACCCGATTCACACAAACTTGGTCTTATTTTTTCTAAGAAAACATTTTTCATAGATCCAAAAATGACATTTTAATGAGACTAGCAATACCATTCTATTCTATCATGAGAGAGAAATAAAGGAGAGGGACAGAGAGACAGAGAAAGAGAGAGAGGTGGAGAGGTGAGAGAGAGAAAGAGAGAGAGAGAGCGAAAGAGAGAGAAGGTCAAAAGTGAACATTTTGGTGCATGGTCTTCGGGGTATCTTGTGCACAAAAATAATTTGAACTGTGTCAAGCAAAAGCTGATTCTTTTGTTCAGTCAACTGAATCATGTTAGCGTCTAGGCTTGTGGCACATAATGTGTGTCGTAGTCAAGGAAAATCCTCAACATGGGTAAAATATCACACTGATCTATTCATCACATTATGGTGCAATTTGTTCTCTGAAAATAGAAACAATGTACATTCAATGACAGGAGAACTGAATGAGCAAGCTCCTTATATAAAGGAACAATGATTCATTAGCTTAAATTCGTGGACCTTAATCAGTTCAGCTATCTATAATCTTCTTCAAATACTAGATCTAGAGTTTATCATCTTATTATTGTATGATGTGTGAACCACTTGTTCTTCTTTCTTTTTTCAGAACCTGTAATGGCAGCAACATGACCATGTTGAGTAAAAGGAAATACTGCTTTCCAGACCATCACAACTACAACTACTCCAACCACATAATTGGAGGCTCATCATCTTTAGTCTTCCTCAGCTGTTCCAGAATGCTGACTGGTAAAAAACAACAACTAGAAAACAACAAAGTAATGCTTTGAAATGTAAACTTTTGCAAGTATGTGCCAGGTCAATATTATTTCAAAATTCAGTACATGAAATAAAGATCTTTTTAGGACAAAATAGCTGTGAAACCATCTCTATGTTATTTGTCACTATCTTAATTAATATCAGTACCGATAAGGCTAAGCTCAAAGATGACTGAAGTATAAACAAATTACTCTGAGTAAAATATTAATACTGTTTACACATATGAACACATGATTGCCAGTTCTAATTTCGTTACAGTTACCCTCTAAACAAACACAGAAGAATAATTACATAATCATTTCCTATCCAGGAACACAGAACATTTCATGATTTATTTGCAATAGCATAATTTTTTAAAGAAAAAAAAAACCACACACCAAAATCAAGTTTCAAATTCTGGGTGAAAAAGAAATTCCTTGAATTGTAAGCAATAAAAGCATACATCTGATACATGGGTACAAAGATGAAGTAGAATAACATCTCAGATTTTTCAGGCCCCCCTTCAAAACTTTTTTCAGTTGAACTTTAAGATGACAACAACTTTTATAACACACTAACAGAAGTAAAACTTGATTTTTGATCGAAGCTTTCTTTGTGCAGTAAACATAGACAAAAAGATATGAAGAAAAAAATGTATTTCTCTAATGAGAAGGAAGGGTGTTAGAAAACTATGAAATTTCAAAGCAAAGTCAGACGTTTTTTTTAGAAGGCAATGATAATTTAACATAGTAGAAGGCTGTTTTTATATATTTTTAATACCTTGACTCTCCTTTCAGGCAGGAAATGAAAATACAGATCATTTCCACTCCAGAATGCAACATAAAAAGGCGTGCAAAATATTATACCACACTTTAACCACAGGAATATTCATATCTTGAAGACCTATAAAATAGACCAGTTTGAATGTTGATTCACAAAACCAATACTGCAAGTCTGAAATTTTGGCAATATTTTGAGCATCTTGAGAACTACAATTCAAAAAATGAAAAATAGGCATTTTGAAAGTCAGGTGCATTTCAGACAAACTAATAATCATATGATATCGCACAGGATATAGATGAGTAAATTCCTTACCCTCTTTCTTTCTTTTCTGATCAAAATGCAAAACAAAAAATGTAGCACTAACCTATTAGGAGTATTTAAAATCAAGCCAAATCTCTGTTTTCCAAATTAATGATTAAAGGAAGAAACACTGGTACTTAGGAAGCCACGATATTGTATTTCTGTACTACAGTAGCCGAGCTTGTGAATAGATTTAAAAAAGAATTGGGAGTTCAAAATATTCTTGGCCAGTCAAAACATTTTTCTTTCTCTCTTAGAGAAGCTTTTTTGTGTATCTGCATGGGAAGAACATGAACTGTACCTTTATAACAATTAAAATTGAGTCTAGAAGATCAATAAACTTCATTTTTTTAAATCTCACAAGATGAGAGCTACACACATGTACCCACTGTAAGAAGGCTATAGACACACCAACCTGTGGACAAAATAGTATCAATACACCTTGGATATAGTACACAGTTCTGTAAGAGGAAGAGCACAAATTTTGGACACAGTGATGTCTCTAAGAGAAATGAGAGGATAATGAATCCACATTAGCATTTTTCAGTCACCCACATTGTCTCACACAACAAGAGCAGATGTTCTCTTGTACACATACTGCTTCCCATTCCAACTCAAAAGAATTCACTCAATAATCAATACTCATAGCAATTCTAATGCATTCATTTTGCAGGCACTTCCCCTGATGAATTGTTTACCATCTTTATTGGGAGAAATGCAAATAAATGAGGCAGGAAAATACTAACAAGAACAGGGAGTCCAGGAAATACATCTTTCTCACAAAAAAAAACAAAAAAAACTATGAGCGACAGGGAAATCCAGAACCCACAGCCAACCAGAGACTACAAATAGTCCATGGTCCCTCTAATGGGGGGGGGGGGGGTGGCTATACATCAGAATTTCCTCGCATCTAGAACTGATATTTTTTTTGTCTTCGGAACTGATATTTTTTTTGTCTTCGGCACTGTGAAGGCTGGATGAAAATGACCTGTAAGTGTCTAGAAGGGTAATAAAAGCACACAAGTACAAAACACTGAGAAGCTATCACTCTTTTACAGGCCAACATCATCCCAACAGAATTTGTTGTCTTTCAACAGCTGTCTGACTTCAACATTTTAATTTCTTGATCTTTCAGAGAATTCTATTTGCTACCCATCCAGTGGCATTATGTGTCTCTTTCTCTATTATTTTCTCCTTTCATGCGGCATATGTAGGGACAATTATGAAAGCTGATTGCTTATATACCAGCACTGTGACTTAAGGGTCTGTCCAACAGTTTCATGTAAGCTTCTGATTGTGAAAGGGTTAAGAGAGAAAACAAATCAAATATTGTCAGCCAATCTCTCTCTCTCTCTCTCTCTCTCTCTTACTCTCCATCTGAAATAGATACCGTCAAACCGTACCAATCTGTCTCAGTCTTTGTAAGTCCAATATCTGTGTGTCTCTCTCTTGTGAGTTACTTTCTTTCTCTCCCAATGTTAGTTCGGAATATTAATAAAAGAAAAACTTCTACAGGCACGACAAACAGTAAAAAATACTGCAGAGGTGACAATGCCGGATAGCCTGGATGCAATCCATTCACAACCTGAGAGACAGCTATAAAACTGACTTCAACTTATTCTGTAATGCTTTAACGGAAATAATGACACTGTCTTAAACATTGGGCAGACCTGAATTCACATTGTCTCTGTCTGTTATATGATGACTGTCAATCTGAAAAAAATAAAAAGAGAAAGAGTCATCTTAGATTCTTTTTTTTTCCGGCAAATAGTTATCCATAAAAAGTATGCACATATATATATATACCAAAGACGAAGTACTAAACTTTAAAAGAAGCACATTTTTCTGGCAGCCATGGCATTTCCAAAAGTAATCATAATTCCTATAAATCAAAAAGTTCCTTACTCGTTTACTCAAAGATAATATGGCAAGATGTAACGTTTTTGTGCAACTTTTTAGAATCAAATCATGATCAAAGGAAAGCTTCAAACAGGGTAAATAAACAGCTTCCAGATATAGCAAAGTGCTAATGGGAAAGTTATTATTAACTTTGAACACGCATTTTTGAGAACATTTTGAGAGAATATTTTTTTTAGAGGGGGGGATTTTATTCGTCAATAGGACTATGTAAACTGGTAAACTGTTCAGGAATGTATAGAGGTATAATTATAGTCATGACATACATCAAATCACAGTTAATTGAATGCAGAAGCTGAACATATAGAAATCATGAATGTATGACTTGTTTGTGTTGAGTAAAGGGTTAGGAAAAAAATAATGGTAGAGAAAATGAAAAAAAACAGATGAACGCTCACAGCCTTCTTTCGTAGTTGCGGGACTCCCCAACTAATGCTGTGAGCGTCATTCTTTGTTTAACACTTTGCTGCCTCATCTCGTCCATTGGCGATATTTACCACCCAGTTTCTTTGGATTTCCCCCCAAATATGATGGTAAAGTGTTAAGAGTTAAGAAACATGCACAGCTCAGATCTGAACTCACATGTACAGTGTTGGAGGAGAATGGATCATGGCTAGCAATCTGGGGGATGCTGGACACACTTGACTTCTTCTGAGGGGCTTGCTGTTTCTCCTTAGACTTGTTGTTCACTGTGAGGTGAAGGTGGGGGAAAATATTTTAACGGCAAGTAAATTTCTTATTCATAATATTCAATAGTGCGCTATAAACCCAAATGGCGTTGCTGAACTCTAATTTAGAGTAAATAAGAGAAGGTAAGTATGAAAGTGGTCACCTTTTGTGTGGAATAGACTAGGATGTCATCAACAATGGTAAGAAGTAGGAGAAGCTGACTCACTCAGGGTGCCCACAATCTTCACAGGAAATGAGAAGGTTAGATACTAGTAAGAAAAATGTTGGACACTACCTTGCAGTGTCATATATTTTAGCTTTGACCAATGAGTTTTGCTTAAGAATATGCCCAGTGACCAATCATTTAAAACCTGTCACGTTAGCATTGCTTGACATGTGCACTGACCATCTAAATGCGAAAAAAAAAAGGTGATGAAATAGAGATGAGACTGATTAAGGATAAAAAATGTTTGATCATCGTTGTGCAACTCCAAAGATGGATCACAGTGAAATCAAAACACCATGTGACCTCACTTTCCTTTGAGCTATTTTCTACTCTTCTGCAACCCCTAATCTGTTTCTCCTTTAAAAAGTTTTAATGGAAAAGCTCAAATGATCGACAGGTTCCACCAACATTTATAGAGTAGTGGCTTTTGGGATAAGATCAAAGTTAAAAATATAATACATGTAATAGTGCAGTCAAAAATTCGTAGAGCAACTTACTCCCAAATATCTCTTTAATGGGTGAATCAGTCACCATATTTTGCACAGCAGTGTGTATCAATTTATCTTAATTTAATAATAGTTTTTCCCAACAATTGAGGCTCGATTAATAAACTTTTCTTCACAAACTTTTAATGAAATACTATGGGTTAAATCTTTGTCACGCAGAAAATGGGATTGTTCACAGTACTCCCGGCTTCTCAAACACATTTTGTATACACGCATGACCTATGTCACAGCTCATCAGTGACACCTCTTAGAGGTAAAACTTGTTACAAGAAATTAAATTGACATTGAACACATTTTTTGCACTAAAGGTTCTTAAAACATACGTCCAATAAAGATAGCGTCACGATTTTTTTAAAATTACCAACTTCCTTTTAATAGCGATATTGCCCCCGTTGTAAACCTTTTTAAATCTGTAGAAACCACCCACTTGGATTTTTTAAATTAGTATTTATTAAGGAATTTTTCAGAATATGGCTAACAGGTATTTACAAAAGTATTCACTTGTTCAGACAAATTGATATAAGTCATTGAGCAAAATCTGGAGAGTCTGTTAACTACAATGTTGGAAATATTTGACAATAAGTTGTGCCCCAATTTTTTTACCACACTATAAATTATAAACCTTCAAAGCAAGTCATGAAGAATGGCTCTAACACAATATAAACACAAACATTTTTGCTTGTTTCTTTGAGAAAAAAGTCATAATAATACTGATGGTTATAGGAAATCCTGAGGGCCAAACCCGATGGCAAACAAATGTAACAGCAGGAACGGAGAGAAATCAGGCCTTCAAAAGATGCCTTCTAATTAGAAGAAGAAATGACAGCAAGAAAGGCAAAAAAAATTATTTTAAAGGTGGAATACAAAAATATAAAACACTTCCAGTTGTTCACAAAGAAATCTAACCCAAACAAAAGAAAGGGACCAAATGAACATAAGGTGATAGAAAAAACAGGAGGTCAACTGAATGAACAAAGACTGACTACAGACTAACAATTAATGACATACCGTCTGCTCCTTTAACTTCAGGAAGACTCAGACTTGGCCGTTCCTCATGAGACCTGTCTCCAGAAGTACTGACTTTGTATTTGTTTTTCTCCAGTGACTTGTCATGAAGCGAGCTCTTTTCTGAAAGCATCGGTTGAGGTGATATGGTCGTACTGTGATGGGAGTGATGAGGTGTTGGAGTCGTCTTCTTGGGAAAGCCAGTTATCTTTTTCACCCCTTTATCATTGGATCTGGGGAGTAAGGAAATTGTTCATATAATCACTTATTTACTGATTCAACATCAATGTAGCCAAATGAGTCCTAAACAGCTACCAAACTTACACAAGAGCCTAAAGGCCTAATTTTGACTTGAGAAGACGCAATCTCTTTCATTGATGCACACTTTCATTTATTTTCTGAAGCATATTTAATCTTTTAGTTGTGTCAAAAATTTTTTAAAAATTAAAAACCACGTGAAAACAAATTCTATAGAATTGTCGAGAGTAAAAAAGAGTGTTGGAACTCAAGTTTTCGAAATAAGGTGCAATAGATAATAGTTCCAAATGTCATTATCAGTCGAGAGAAAAAAACACTTGTAAGTCGAGAAAATATAGAAAGGTCAAGCAAAGATGCATACAACATGGAAAGAGAAAATGTTGTTCATCCCATTCCAATACCTTGTTTTTACTTGAATCATATAAGCAAAGAATAGAGGGAAAGAGTCATTGGAAAAGAATGATGACTGTTAGAGAACCAAAAGTAATTGAACAGCCAAACAAATTCAGCTTATCAGCCTCCAATATCCTCTTTAGGGCGACAACAGGCCGACTCTTATGGTAATTAAAGACATTGTTAGATAAAAGTTTTCAAAATGACAAACTTTTTAATGCATGAAGAAGTTTTCCGACCATTAGTAACAAATATAAGGTGGGCCTGATATTCAACAATCTGATCAAGAGGCACACCTTTCTGAAATAACCTAAATAGCAAAATTTTAGGCATTTAACATTTTCAGCTAAAATTAAATGTCACAAGTAGGGCTTGCCATGAATACTTCGCATGTTGAGTTTAAAAAAAATATTCTTGGTTCCTAAAACAAAAGCTATTAAATATATCTAAAACAGACATAAGCACAAGTAACACAAGTAAGCACTTTATATATGGAGGTAAAAGCTGGAAAGAAGAATTAGTGATGATATTTTATGAGAAAAAAAAAGTGAAAGTGTGGGAAACATACAGCTCACAAGACACAAGCCTTGCAGCATTTTAAAAAAAGAAATAAGTCTGTAAAGTTTAGGGTAAATTTCTCCTGCAAGGTAGATTAACTATAAAAGTCCTTCCTCTATCATGTGACGATTTGTTAATGATTTTTTTAAAGGTGAGTACAAAAATTAGAGTCATTATCAGAAAAAAACAACAACAAAGAGGGGGACCATGAACATATGTATAGCTGCCATTCTTTACAGTACATGTAGATATCTATCGAGCGATGCTATATTTCAGGTGTTACAAAGAACATACGACACCACATCGCCTCAAACTGTTTCTAAAAAAACAATATTTAATAAAGACAGAAGCATTTGTGAAAAACTCAAACCAGATGTTCTCAAAGCCCATCAGTAAATCAAGTCTGAGAAGTGAGCTAAGGTACAGATGTGGGTCATAAAACAAAACATTGGGAAGTAGTTTTAATGAAATCTCTCTTGTAAGGCCCAACTTGTTATAAACTAGAAGACCACTCATAGACAATGTTAATGCGTTTTGCTGATATAACATCTGTAAAGGGGCACACTAATCATCACTAGCAAGTTTACTTCACTTTATAAAGCTACCATAAAAAGAACATGATTTCCTTTTAAAAAGATGCAATGCAAACATAGATCTTACTGCATTATCTTTTCTTTTTTAGATCATATTACCAAACTCATTGATATCATGTTTTACTTTTTAAAAATCTTACTTTTAAGGCTACACAACTTCCTGAAGCTAAAACTTTGAGGAATAAATCATATTCCAGTTCTGGTTAACCAAAAATGGTAGACACATCATAGTCAACAAAAGACAGAAACAAAAATAAAGTAAACATGAGAAGGAGAGAGAGAGAGAGAGAGAGAGAGAGAGAGAGAGAGAGAGAGAGAGAGAGAGAGAGAGAGAGAGAGAGAGAGAGAGAGAGATGTTTTACACATGATAACTCAAGGAAGATTCGCTTCCAAAGTTTAAACGTGAGCATTTGAAGAGTTCATACATAAACAAACAATTTTTTTGTAAAAGTGCATTTTCCCAGCATTTCGATGACATGGTCACTGTCTACGACCATTTCTCTGTACCAATATTTTTATGTAGCTTCACATTAAAGAAGTCAAGAATTAAAACTTCACTGCAAATAATTAGAGGATCACACACTATATTGCCTACACAAGCAGGGAAATTCCCAGTAAATGATATTTGGGTATCATGCCAGTAAAAGCATGAAGCAGTTCTAAACGGTAAATTCGTAGACAAAGTCTTTGAAAAGACTAATCGTTGATTGAATGAAGATCCCGAACATTAAGTTTCATGATACCATAATTACATGATCCGAAGAGCTGTAATAGCAGTAATATTATGTACATACTTGACATGATGATGAATTAAATAACACTCTGTGAAAGTGAAGGAAAGTACAGTAAGCAATTTATAATATTCTAATCAGTCTGTCAAAAGCTCATCATATTCCTTATTATGAAAGTTATTATTGCATTAGTATTTTGTTACTCTAGTATATTAATATCATTAGCTGCCATAAAGAGGGGAAAAGAGAGGTAGACATGAAGGCATTCAAAGCGATGCCAAAAGTTCATAAATAAACAAATCAGAAAAATTGACAGAAAGCTCTAGCCTGTTCCTCAAATAAAGCTTGAGACACGGTAATGCACCCAGGCGATCAGACCAGAAAAACTGTCCTGAATCCAAAGCATAGCTGTTACATAGTGTATTGTTATATATTGCATCATTAAAAGGTCAATGACTACTCACTCTTGTTTAAAGTGTTGGTCAGGTATATAATTGTTAGTGTTGAAGATATGTGCATACATACATTGTGTGTATGTGTGAATGTGTGTGTGTGTGTGTGTATGTATGTGTGTGTGTGTGTGTGTGTGTGCATGTGTGTGTGTTTGGGTGTCTGTGTGAGTGTGTCTGCGTGAGTGTGTGTATGGGTGTGTGTGTGAGTGTGTGTGTGTGTGTGTGTG